GCTTCTGAGAAACGGAAGGCGGCATTTTGAAGCAATGTCTCTACTGTTGCGTTTTCTACCTACTCGCAATCTGAATCTTCCCCGTTCGTGAAATATTTCGGATGGGTTACGGACGTGTTAGGGGTGAATCGCGGGCAGTTTTTATGCTTCAGACGAAAACAACTTTTTTCAAACGCAATCTTTTGCAGGACTAAAAACGCCATCAGAGCCCAAATATTTCCTCTTCTACTACCGGAAAACTGTAGAGCTACAGCAAGCTCTACAGTTTTCCTGGAGAACCGCTGGTTTAGAAGACATTTTATATGGGTCCCCTTGGGCGATATGCTGAGCCGCTCAACAGTTCGACTCCTTCTGTGCCATTGTATGAGTTAATTCCCGTTGATCTTACATCTATCGATTTGGTCCAAGGTGGCGCCGTGCATTGTGCTTCTATGGAGACGTGGTGAAAAGGTGCATCTTCTAAGTTGAGGTGATTTTTGTCCATGCAAGCGTATGCTCATATAGGGTTTGGAAAGGTCGACAGGCACGAATCTGCTTGAGGTGTATAATTCAGTCATCTACGTACTTACGAGATAATGCTAACTATTGGTATTACTAATCAACTGTTTGAATATTTTGCAGTATTCCTTACATCCGGGTCCTCTGCGCTTTCCGTCCGCTCCATCAAATACACGTTTGTGCTATTTGATGCTCACCGATCCTGGGTTTACGATCCCCCCCCCCAGCGATCAAGTGCAACCCCCCGATGGGTTTCGCACAACGATGCTGTACCCTGTTTGGGGAGTCAGGCTGTAAATGTCAGTGTTCTTACCCTGCCGAACGCACTTGAGAACCCTTTTACAGTACACAGAGGGTAGAAGGCCTGGTTGGCCGGGCGGCAGCCGATACGGACGCGATTCGACACACACATCATACCGGGGGAAGGGTGAGCTGTTACATGCTACAACACCATCCTAGGAATAAATAGAAAACATCAAATGAAAAAGTCACTCAAGGTACTTTGGAGTGTCCCTCGCAATGGACAATTCAGCGAAAAATCTTTTTAAGTCGAAGATTCTTTGAGAGATCGTCGATGCGAACTTCATCAACTTCCTGGTCCCCGTGCTCCGCCTTACACATTTTGGCCTCGGTCTGGTGAGCAATATTTTTGCTTATTAGAGCTTTTAGAATCTCTGGCTCGCTGGCTGGAAATCATGCTGCCTGGTCGATTATACAGTTATGACTGCACGCAATAGAGCATCACAGCTTTAGCCATAGGTCACATGAAGGTTTGATGTCTTCAAGAGAACTTGGGGCTTCCTTCAGAAATTCTACTTGGCACACGTGTTTGCTGCTCTGCAGGAGTTGATAGGACCTC